CCCATTGTCCCCCCATGCCTGTCCCTCATGCCTGCCCTTTCTGCTGCCTGTCCTTAATTTATTGAGCTCCTCCTCTAAACTTTTAATATGTTCTTTGAGTGCAGCTTTGTCCTGCTGCGCTTTCTGATTAGCTTGGCACCGGGCTTCTTCAATCTTGCGTTCATACCACTTTTCCATTTGAGTGGAAACGGCCTCAAAAAAGTACTGAGTAATCTCTAGCGCTTGGGAAGTGTCTCTGATCTGAGGAGTGGAATGATCACCCGAAGGCAGAGCAGGTGGCTGCTGCTGCTGGGTCTGATGTGTTACTGAGTGCTGCTGAGGCCTGTGTCTTGACTGCCCACCCTTGCTAGATTTCTTTGTCTGAGTTCCTTTGTTTATAAAGTAGACACTCTGTTGCTCAGTTTTTGCAAGTTCTGTCAAGGGCTGCAAAGCAGTTTGTACCTTAACATGTTTTAATTTGGAACCTAAAAGCTCTGATGATGGCAGCTCCTGCTGGAACCAGTTGATAGCAGCAGAGCTAACAGCTTTGTCCTTAGGCCTAACAGCTTGAGGAGCAACTGCAGAAGGAGCTGAACCAGTGGCTACCAATTGTTGTTCTCCACCTGTAAGAAAAACACAGTTCTGGGCAGATATTTTTTTGTATAGGGAATCATGAAGGAGAAATAGCATGTGTTCTGAAGGCTGTGAAGGACAAGTTCTCTCTCACACAATGCTATACAGTTTGGAGAATCTTATACTATTATTGTCTTATTCCACCTTTGTATGAGTAACTTCACAATCTTATCAAAATGAACATATTTACTCACACCCCTCTCCTCAGCATTTCTAACTAGCTGATGCCACCAGGTCCCTGCTTAATATTCTGGCTCCTCTTAATCTCATTCTTGGGCATCTAAACCTCCCCATCTCCACTATACAAGGCATGTGGGTGCGTGGCAAAGAGCTGCAAATGTAGGTTCATGGCTAGATGGCACAGTGCTTATTCTTTTGTGAATCCAAGACTGCTCCTGCAGAAACGCAACAATCAGAAAACCATGTATCCCTATGGTGATCATGGAGTACAGTCCCCATAAAATGGTAGGTTTTACCTAAGAAATAGGGGTCTATACATTTGTAACAGCTGAGTATAACATGCTTAATTCAATGCAAGCAATTTGGTGCAAACTTATGCCAGACCCTGGGTTGGAAGAGATCCAGCCCCTTGCTATCCCCTAAACTGGTAGAAACTTCAAAGAAACAATTTTGGTTTGCATCCTCAGAAGATCTGGCTTCAAAGATAAAATAAACTGGAAGTCTCAAGAAAAGACGAGACAGTGAACTTCTGTCAGTTGAGCCCTGCAGTGTTGGTAGCTGCCTTGAAGGAGGCAGGGGTGTGTCTACACATGCATTTAGACACACCTAAATTTAATACGTATCAGCTTAATGCACATTAAGGTGATTTAGGCTCGCATCTACATGTACATGTGTTAAAACACATTAACGCCGTGTGCACAGACTGATATGGAACTAAAGTTACTCCCAAGTCAGTCCATACACAGTGTTAATGTGCCTTAACACGTCTACATGTATGTTAATGCACTTTAGCTATTCATGCCTAAATTTAATACCTGCTTTTCCAGGTATCAAATTTAAGCATGACTAGCCTAATATCACCATTTTTAAAGCACATCAAGGGCGCGCACGTGTAGACGCGTACCCTTAATGCGCCTTAAATTGAGCTAAAGCACCTTAAATCAGCATGTGTACATGCGCCCAGTATGTTCTAACCGGAAGTCTCTCTATGGAGGTAGGGAAGGGATGTATGGGTGACTGAAAGCATATGGCTTGTGTTAATATACTCGGCACTGTAAAACATCCCACAGTTAATCAGCACTTGGGTTCTGAATACTACACCAAAATACCAAAGAGGATTGTACCTGACATGCTGTCTTGTGGAACAAAATAATGCTTTCCAAAACTTTGTTCTGATATTTGGCCTTTACTCCTGCCCATGTCTTCTGAGAGACTGTTCTGAAGAGTGATATAGGAATGGTGCTGTGAACCCTCTGACTGCAGTGGAGTCTGGTTAGTTTTACTATCCTTGGCACTATGGGGATTCTCTGTATCCAGGGTCTCAGTGAGGGACTCACAAGTTGACAGAGTTGATTTTGGTCTTGAAGATCTAGAATCTCCGGAAAGCTTGAGTTCCAGATTCTGAATCTTTAGCATGCACCAGGTTTTCAATTCATCCACCAAAGAAATCTGTGAAAAATATGAATTGGACAATGAAATGAACCCATTTTTAATTTAACTTTCCACATTTTAAATCCATTCATGTTATCTCAGATGCAGCCTTTTGTCCATGCATGATAAGGCTGAGTATGTATAAATGTACAATCACTGGTAATTTTCTTGTGCTATAAATAAATTTAGTAACATTACATTGTGACATACAGTCAGAGCTGCCAGGTTTTAAAGCGGGAAGTCAAATCAACTGCTTCAACAGTACATGCGCACACATTTTAATACCAGTGCTGATCTGTGCTCCTCATTGTTAATTTTGTGCTATAAAATCAGAGATCAGTGCTAAATTATAATCAACGAAGAGCTTTCAAGTTAGAAAAATTCTTAACCGAATACCCATATTCCCAACATTAGAAAGCTGTCTGCCAGCAAACATTTTAAAATGCATTAGGAACTCAATTACAAAGAAAGAATATTCTTCCATTTACTCTTATTTTCCTGTTATTTATATGTCATTGTAAGTTTGGGACATGCAAATAAAAAGCTTCTGCCTAAGGGCTTTATAAAAGGGCTAATCCAGTCTTTTCACTGATTTTGGATAAGGCCCTAAGAGAACAAGAATGTTAATCCCGATTGCTTGTCACATACCATTGGTGATCTCTTTCCCTTTCAGTATTCTTAGGAGATTGATTACTTGTACATGTATAAGCACAGGTTTTCTCAGTATTCATAGGCTAGCTCCCAAAATTGTAAGCTGACAAGGCAATTTAATACCTATGCCTCTTCTTATCAGCCTTGAGGCTGCTCTACTTTTTACTCATCTTTGTAAGTACTTTCTATGAAAAAATTATTTTGGGAATGACAGATATGTCAGACAGGGAGATTATATCTGTTCCTACAGGTACAGTACACCTGGACCCGATTGTCCTAATAGATCATATCACAGCTTACCGGTGGCTTTACAAAAGGGTGCCAAGATAATTTACTCCCTTTTAAAAAGCACTAACTGGCCCTGCATGAGAGGCCAAGAAGATTTTCCCTAACCTCTCCTCTCCATCAAATTTTCAGAGTCTGCAGAGAAGCTAGGGCAGGAGACTAGGTGGGTGTAGCTGGGTATACTGGAATATCTATTCTTGTTCACCTGCTTTCTGTGAAAGAAACCAGCATAATTATTTCCCCATTGAGCATAAAAGGGCTCAAATTTGAAACGTTGCTTAAATTGAGGAAACTGTGCTATTGCCATAATGCTGTGGCAGAAGACCTGTTTCACTTCTTCCTGTTTCACTCCATGAACATCCTTTATTTAAGAAAAGGACACAGAAATACCATAGAAAGAAAGGAAGAAGAGCAGAAAAGGGATCTTCTCGGTGGAGAAACCACACAGATTACAAGGAGGAAAAGCCTGAGCTTGTGACTTTCTATTGCTGTTGTTTTAAAAGGTGTAGAAAGAAGATCTGAAATACTGGAAAAGCTGGGTTTTTTTACATTCAGTTTTCAAGCCTCCAGTATCTTGAAAACTCATTGGTGACAAGAACGTAAGAACATTAGAACTGCCATTTACTGAGACAGACCATAGGTCCATCTTGCCCGGTATCCTGTGTCAGGGTGTTGTTATACATTCACTTAAAATACATGTTAAGAGCGCATAAAACAGAAGTGTTCACACATTAGGACAGGGAAACGCATGCTAAGGGCCCTCTGGGTGGCTTGGAGATTAACTTCTTCCATTGAGAATTATCTGTAACTGGTTTTTGGCATCTCCTGTCGTAGTGATGTGTGACTACTCCACCAGGGCAAAACCGGTTGGGAGCGATCCTCCAGCATCCCTGGAGGCACCGCTCCTACCTGCTCTATCGTCCCCCACTGTGACAGTGAGGGATGGGGGTGGAATCTAAAGGTAAATTCTCCCCTCCATTCCCATTCCAGGCATTTCCCAGCCCCTGGGGCTCCCCCTCGGCCCTCACAGATCATCTGTGGCTTCCAGCGCTGTCCTGGGGCAACAAGCAGGGAAGAGGAACCCACCCACTTCTGCTGAATTCTCTGGGCTGGGCTCAGCCAGAAGAGCAGCCATGGCCCAGTTCCCTTTCCCTGTTGCTCCCTGGGGACAGCATCAATTGTAGGTGAGCCAGGGGACATGGGGTGTGGAGGCGAGCCACAAGGGCGGGGGGTGGGGACGGGACACACAACAGAGAGTCCTGAGTGGCAGGGAGAGGTTCCCAGGCTTGATGGGGGGACAATGGCAATCCAGGCTCGCAGAGGTGGGGTGATGGGCTCGATCTGAATGGCGGGGGCAGCAGGGGTGCAGACTGCAGGCAGGCTGGGGCTGGCAGGCCCAGTGGGACTTAGAGAACAGCAGAGTAATGACCCTGGACTTTCAAAAAGTAAACTTCAGGTCACTCAGGGAACTGATGGGCTCGATCCCCTGGGAGGCCAGTCTGAGGGGGAAAAGAGTCCAGGAGAGCTGGCTGTACTTTAAAGAAACCTTACTGAGGGCACAGGAACAAATCATCCCGATGTGCAGGAAGACTAGCAAGTATGGCAGAAGACCAGCTTGGCTTAGCAGGGAACTCTTCAATGAGCTAAAACACAAAAAAGGAAATTTATAAGAAGTGGAAATTTGGACAAAAAACTAGGGAGGAATAAAAGATTATTGCTCAGGCCCGCAGGAATGAAATCAGGAAGGCCAAAGCATAACTGAAATTGCAGCTAGGAAGGGATGAGAAAGGTAACAAGAAGGGTTTCTACAAGTAGGTCAGCCACAAGAGGAAGATCAGGGAAAGTGTGGGTCCCTTACTGAATGGCAAAGGCAATCTAGTGACAGAGGATGCAAAACAGGCTGAAGTACTCAATGCCTTTTTCACTTCAATCTTCACAGGCAAGGTCAGCTCCCAGCCTGGCAGCAGTTTGCAGAGAAGATGAGAAGCCAACTGTGGTGAAAGAACAGGTTAGGGGCTTTTTAGAAAAGCTAGACATGTACAAGTCCATGGGACTGGACCAGGGGGGCTGAGGGAGTTAGCTGACGTGGTTGCAAAGCTGCTAGCCAAAGAGGTCCCAGACGATTTGAAAAGGGCAAATATAGTGCCCATCTTTAAGAAAGAGAAGGAGGATCCAGGGCACTACAGACTGGTCAGCCTCCCCTTAGTGTGTGGAAAAATCATGGAGCAGGACCTCAAGAAATCCATTTCTAAACACTTGGAGAAGAAGGTGATTAGGAACAGTTAGCATGGATTCACCAAGGTCAAGTCATGCCTGACCAGCTTAATTGCCTTCTATGATGAGATGACTGGTTCTGTGGATGTGATATACCTTAACTTTAGCAAGGCTTTGATACAGTCTCCCACAACATTCTTGCAAGCAAGCTAAGGAAGTATGGGTTGGATGAATGGACTGTAAGATGGGTAGAAAACTGGCTGCATCATTAGGTTCAGAAGGTAGTAGTCAACAGCTTGATGTCTAGTTGGCAGCTGGTATCATGTGGAGTGCCCCAGGGTTTAGTCCTGGGTCTGGTTCTGTTCAATATCTTCATCAATAACCTTGAAGGTGGGATGGAGCGCACCCTCAGCAAGTTTGCAGATGACACTAAGCTGGGGGGGAGTAGTAGATATGCTGGAGGGTAGGGCTAGGATTCAAATAGACTTCAACAAATTGGAGAATGGGACCAAAATAAATTTCATGAAGTTCAATAAGGAGAAGTGCGAAGTCCTGCACTTAGGATGGAACAATCCCATGCACCAGTACAAGCTTGGGGCTGACTGGCTGGGCAGCAGCTGTGCAGTAAAGGACCTGGGGGTTACAGTGGACAATAAACTGAATGTGGGCCAACAGTGCATCCTTGTTGTGAAGAAGGCTAACGGCATCCTGGGCTGCATTAGTAGAAGCTTTGCCAGGAGATTAAGGGAAGTGATTATTCCCCTCTATCTGGCACTGGTGAGGCCACATCTGGAGCACTATCTCCAGTTTTGGGTCCCCCACTACAGAAAGGATGTAAACAAATTGAAAACAGTTCAGCCAAGGGTAATAAAAATGGTTATGGGGCTGGGGCACCTGACTTTTGAGGAGAGGCTGAGGGAACTGGGCTTATTTAGTCTGGACAAGAGAAAACTGAGCAGGGATTTAATAGCAGCCTTCAACTACCTGAAGGCTGGTTTCAACGAGGATGGACCTAGACTCTTCTTAGTGATGACAGATGACAGAACAAGGAGCAATGGTTTCAAGTTGCAGCAAGGGAAGTTTAGGTTAGATAATACGAAAAAATTCTCACTTGGAAGGTAATAAAGTGAGAAGTTTTTCCTAATATCTAACCAATTGGACATTTATCTTGCTGGGATCCTGTGACCCCAGCCAACTTCCTGCCCCTGGGGCAGGGGGCTAGACTCAATGATCTTCTGAGGTCCCTTCCAGCCCTAATGTCTATGACATCTATGAAAGCACAGGAACAGGCTACCCAGAGAGGTTGTACAGTCTCCACTCTTGGAGGTTTTTAAGACCCAGCTAGACAAAGCCCTGGTTGGGATGATCTAGTTGGGGATGGTCCTGCTTTGAGCAGGGGGGTGGACTAGATGACCAGAGGCCCCTTCTAACTTCATTTTCTATGATTCTATGAATCTGGGCCACATACCTTGCCTCTGAGAGCATGCAAGTTGGGCAGGCACAGAGCCAGCTTGACTCCTAGACACACCTCTGCTCACCAGCCCTCTCAGGGCAGGTCAGAGGTCACGTTATAGGGGGCATTAACCCTAAATGTGGGGCAGCTCAAAGAACATGCTAATTTTAACACCCAAATAAAATTAACGTGTACTAACTGTAATGTGTAACAAGGCCCTCATGCAGTGGCAGAAAGTGGATGTTGAAAGGGACAGTGAACTGGGTATGACCATAGTTTTTTCACTGTTCCTCTCTCACTTGCAGCCTCCAGCATTTAGGGTCTAGGAAGTTCTGATTCAGAGGCTGTGTCCCCAGTACCCACGCTCAATAGCTACTGATGCACCTTTCCTCCAATAATTTGTTCAATGTCTTCTCAATTTGACTAAACTGTCAGCTTCCACAACATTTTGTGTCAATGAGCTCCACACTTCCATGACATGCTGTGGGAAAAGAACTTCCTTTTGTTAGTTTTAAACTTACTACCTGTTGGTTTTGTTTTGTGACCCCCAATTCTTGTATTGAGACAGACAGAAAATAATAAATCTCTGTTAACTTTCTCTTTGCCATTTAGTATTTTGTAAACCCTTCTCATGTCTATCCGCAAGCATCTTTTCTAAACTAAACAGGGCTAGTCTCCTTAGACTCTCCTCATATGGATGCCCCTTCATATCACTAATCATCCTTGTTGCCCTTCTCTGCATCTTCTCTAGTCCTTCTAGAAAACAAGTAAAACAATGATATTACAGGAGCTGGTATACTGAAGGTTGAAAAGGCAAGGGAAGTTGTTGTGTTTTTATGGAAAAGTAGTCTTTGTTAGAGATCCAGTGTCCTGACACTCCAGTTCAGTTGCACAAGTCTAGCCCAGGTTTTATAGTTTCATAGTTTGTAGGGTCGGAAGGAACCTGAGCAGATCATCAAGTCCGACCCCCTGTCATGGCAGGAAAGAGTACTGGGGTCAAACGACCCCAGCAAGGTGTTCGTCTAGCCTCCTCTTAAAGACCCCTGGGTTGGAGCCAGCACCACTTCGCTTGGAAGTTGGTTCCAGATCCTAGCCTCCCTAGCTGTGAAGTAGCACCTCCTGATGTCTAATCTGAATTTACCCTCTGCCAGCTTGTGACCATTATTCCTAGTCACTCCTGGCAGTGCTCGGGGGAACAGGGACTCCCCCAGTGCCTGCTGGTCCCCTCTGACTAGTTTGTAGATGGCCACTAGATCCCCCCTCAGCCTTCCCTTGTGGAGGCTGAACAGGTTCAGGTCCCGTAGCCTCTAACCCT